CTGTCTAATAGACTCTAGATTTATCCACCTCATTAGAACTGCGTCAGATGTGTTCCTTTTTATAGCTGAGTAATATTCCAATGTGTATATGTACTACAACTTCTTTATTCATTCGTCTATTGATGGATATCTAGGTTGCCTCCATGTCCTAGCTATTGTAAATAGTGCTGTGATGAACATTGGGGTACATGTGTCTTTTTCCATTTTGGTTTCTTTAGGGTATATACCCAGTAGTGGGATTGTTGGGTCATAAAGGTAGCTTTATTCCTAGTTTTTAAAGGAATCTCCATACCATTCTCAATAATGGCTGTGAATCAGCCATAACTATATGTATATCCCTTCCCTCTTGAGCCTCTCCCCGCCCCCACCCCCCGATTCCACCCCTCTAGATCATCACAGAGAACCAGGCTGAGCTCCTTGTGGCATGCAACAACTTCCCACCAGTTATCTGTTTCACACATGGTAGTGTCTATAACTCAATGCTGTTCTCTCAATTTGCCCCACCCTTTCTCCCTCCATGCTACATTTATACAATGCAATATTACTCAGTCATAAAAAGGAATGAATTTGAGTCAGGTTGAACTGAGGTGAGTGAAACCAGAACCTGTTATACAGAGAAAAATAAATCAGAAAGAGAAAAAAATATATATATTGTATATTAACACATATATGTGGAATCTAGGAGAAATCTCACCCATTCTTGGAGGCTCAGTTTAAGGCAGGAGATAGATGGGTTGCAGATTAGGCATTTACAACTGGCCTCCTGTTGCATTTCATGGTGCAGGAAGAAGTGGGCTTCAGGGTGGATACTTAACAATTAGCCTCCTGTTTGCATTTCCTGAGACAGGAGATAGGTGGGCTCCAGGTAAAGCATTAACAATCAGCCTCCTGTTTGCCATCTGAAATAGAAGTAACAAGATAAACAGGATAAGCAGCCAGGTTTTATCTCTTGTAAACACCTTAAGATAACAGCCATGGCAGGAACAAAGAGGGGAAAAATCCTGTTTGGGTAAAGGATTAAGTGATCTCCTCTCTCTCTCCCACTCCCCTACCCCCTACCCCTACTTTCTGGGGACACCACACACATGCAGAAAGGCTCCTTAGGGGTCAAAAAGTCAGCTGATAATGCCAGGCCATGATGAGTCTTGCTCCTCCTGGAAGACTTCACTTCAAGATACATCTTGGCTGAGGAGAGCCTGTACACCTCACATCTTGGGTGGGGATGTGTGTGCACATCCAGAGAGGTAGAAGGCCTCCTTGAGTGATGGAGGTGGCCAGCCACGAGACAACCTGCACAAGCACCAGCCTGATGCAAACATCCTGAAGTGAGAGAGGGCTGACGGTGGTTTGGGGAGTGACGAGAGGTCAGTGGAGCTGGAGCAGAAAGGGAGAGGAAGGAGGTAGCAGGCACATAGATACTGAGCAGGCTGAGAGGACTGGGATTTTATTCTGAACATAATGGGAAGTCACTGGCTGACTTGAGTCATACTGTCCTGGACTAATTTGCAATTTAAAGAGTCATTACATTAGAAAATGTCAGGAGAAGGGAGGTCTTCCTTCTAGCATCTTTCATGTGAGATGAGCTCCCCATCTCAACAGGTCCAAGAATGTTAACTGTCTTCCCCCCAAAGCTGCCACTCAGTTCCCCAAGCCACTCCCTGTTGGCCCCAGTTAGAAACCTAGCAGGGACACCAGACCTATGGTGGCCGAGGAGCTCCTAAATCCCACCAAGTCTCACTGAATTCTTACTCGCATCTGCCCCACCCCTACCCCCCTGCACTGCTGGCTTTGCAGCGCCCTCATTATTTTTCACCAGTAGGCCTCCCTCCCCCAGTCCCACCCAGTCTTGTTGCTGCTGTGGACCTCTGTGAAACTCAATGGTCATCTAAAGCCAGATTTATCTTGAGGACAAGGTTCAGGCTCAGTTTGGCTCACAGGGACCCAGAGAATCTTGTTCAGGTTTTTTGCCTTCACTTTCACACCAAGCGATCTGGCCTTCCCCTCAACCCCTCCGCATCTCTCTGTGCCCTTCCTCACCTGGAACAACCATCCTTCTCTCTCCTATTGCATCTTCTCCAACTGGAGAAATCCTTTTTGTCTTTCCTAAATCCACATCTTCCTTCTGTGCAGACATAGCATCAGGCCCATACTTTTATTCTGTTGTATTTTACTAACCCATAGAAATCCACACATCTGTAAATATTCTTGTGTAGCCATCTGTGCCTATATTCAGCTAAACCACATCTCCAACTTTAGTCTATTACCGTGTGGATCATCCTAAACCCTCTCTCTTGGCTTATCTGTAATTTCCCACTGCAACAATGAGATAGTTCCCAGCACCTGCCATCCACTTACTTGTTAAATCCATTTACGTGTATAGTGAGCTCTCACTGTATTTTATCTGTGGGTTTATTTGTCTTCCAGATCAATGCTTATTCCCAAGCACTGAAAAATAACTAAATGCTTAACACAAGTCAGGCACTGGCTTCCCCAGTGGCTCAGTAGTAAAGAATATGTCTGCAAGGTAGAAGACATGTATTCAATCCCTGGGTTGGGAAGATCACCTGGAAAAGGAAAGGGCAACCCACTCCAGTATTCTTGCCTGGAAAATCCCAGGGAAGAGGAACCTGGTGAGCTATGGTCCACGAGGTTGCAAAAGAGTTGGACATGATTTAGTGACTAAACTACAACTGATTTAAATACTACAAGCATATTATTTACTTCTCACAGCCAACCATGTGAGACATTTATGATTAGTTCAACAGAAGAAAGTGTTAGTTGCTCAGTCGTGTCACACTCTTTGAGACCCCATGGACTGTAGCTCGCCAGGCTCCTCTGTCCAGGAATTCTCCAGAAAGAATACTGGAATATTGGAAAAATGGAATAATACTGGAATAATGGAATAGGTAGCCATTTTCTTGTCCAGGGGATCTTCCAGACCCAGGGATCAAACCCAGGTCTCCTGCATTAGACAGATTCCTTACCATCTGAGCCACCAGGACTTCCCAGGTGGCACTATTGGTAACAAACCCACCTGCCAATGCAGGAGACACAAGAGACTCTGGTTCAATCCCTGGGTTGGGAAGCTCCCTGAGGAGGAAATGGCAATCCACTCCAGTATTCTTGCCTAGAGCATCCCATGGACAGAGGAGACTGTTGTGCTGTAGTCCGTAGGGTCACAAGGTGTTGGACACAACTGAAGTGACTTAGCATGCAACAGAAGAGAAAGTCAAGGTACAGAAAAACCAAGGTGGTTGCCCAAGGTGCACGATTACTAAACGGCAGAACCAAGGCTGACTCCAAAGAATAGATACACAGAATCATGAACTCCAGAGCCTCTCCTGGGTTAGGGGTCCTCCAGGTAGCATGAGCTGGATTAATAACATCATAGTTCCTTAGCTTCTGACATTCCAGCCTTACTGCTCCTCAGTGTTGAGAGGTGCTATCTACAGTTATTTTCTGTGACCCTCACTGTAGGTCCCTGCAGCAGAAGGTAAGGATGGTTCAATCACAGCATTGTGCTTTTTAATTCACTTGGGTCCTCACTACTTTTGTAAGTCAGGGAACGCACCACCTGGGGAATCCCCATTTCACCCCCAAGAAAGTTGCTCCCAACTCCACCTCTGTCCCACCCTGCCCCTGGTCTCTACCTCCCAACTCCTGGGAGAATTCACATCCTGCCAGAGGCCTTTCAGTAGGTGGTCCCTCCACTTTCCTTTCCCATGCCTTGGTTCTATCCACCTTTTTGTATACACCCTCTTCACACACACACACCTCTAAGAAAAGCCTCCAGCTCTGCCGTGTGTTTGGGGGCACTCCCTCCTTCTCCCTACACTCTTCTCATCTCATCTTCAGGACCCCTCAGTGCTCACTATGCACCTGAAGACATGCAGAAGTTTCCCCAATCTTAAATTTTAAAAATCACAACTTTGTAGCCACCTCATCTCTCACTTCTCCCCTTCTTCAGCAAGTACTGTTCGAGGGCCTCTTCCATGCCAGGCTCTTCAAGGCACAGGGGATTCCAGGATAAAAAAAACTGGTCAAACCCCTGCCCTCAAGGGGCTGACACTCCAGTGCAACCAAGCTACTTGGAGGAACAGGGAATGCCCCCACCTTCTACCTGCTCACAGAAACACAGCACATCTTGGTGAAAAGTGATCATATTTGTTTTATTGAGTATACAGAGGCAATGCCATGGTCCTGTCATAATTTGGGATCAGTAATCTCTGACTTGGTTAAAGTCTCTATGGGGACCTGCTTCCCAGATTCCTAGACATTATTTGTGACATCACACCTTCTAAGACTAGTGTTTCTGGAGATGGATCTGATGAGAGGAGGGATTCCACTCTGAATACATGCCCGTGGCTCCCGGAAGACAATGGGATTGTAGGAGAGATAGCTTCTTTGGCCATATTTGATTCCTTCTGTCTTGACATCATGGTAATGATTTTTGGGATAGGAGCTGGTGTTACCGGGAGCCACATAATGGCTGAACCAGCACGGTTGAGGGACAGCTGTCCACCATGCCTCAGGGTTGGTGGTAGGTCAATCTGGAAAGAGACAGCCTGGCTTTAAGAACTGCACAGAAGCCCTTTGGACAGTCCCAGCAGTGCCTGCATTCCACACCGGACTTGTCCTTATTCTGGATTCATAGCCCAGGAGAGAAGTTTTACGTAGATCCTACTGATGGGCTCCTCCTCTCAAGTTACTGCCTTGTCGTTGAGGGTGGAAACTCCTTTAGCTCCTCCTTTTCTGGGTGCACCCCTGGCACTTTGTTCATCTTGATGAAGATCTGATTGATTTCTATGAACGTCTTGGACTTGGTTTCAGGGATGATCAGGAAGACGTAGATGGTGGTGAAAAGACATATCAGAGCAAAAATGACGAAGCTGTAAGCTCCGAGGCCCACCTGTGGGAGGGGAGAGGGTCCACATTTTTGAAAAGGTTCTCGATTAACTGCTTGAGTATCTTGTGCCTCTGGGGCCCTGGGTCACACTTACTTGGATGAATGGGAAGACCAAGCCCACAGTGAAGTTGGAGAGCCAGTGAACAGTACCCGCCACCATGTAGGCAGCTGGCCGGGAGGACTGCAGGAAGATCTCAGTGACGAGCAGTGCAGGGATGGGACCTGGGGAGGAACAGGAATAGCTGACTTCTCTGTTGGCCAAGCAAGCCCACCACGGGTCCTGGAGCCCTGCCCATGTAAGGTTCCAGAGGCATCCGGCTCAAGGCAGAGCAAGTGTGTCTCCAGGACTCCTGATCTTGTGGAGAATCAGTGTGAGACGGCATCTACCAAGAGTTGGGCACAACAGGGGACATCCTGTGATGTCCCTAAAAGGGGTACATGACCATCTGTAAAGATTTCTGCCCACCACATGGGCATTGTGTTCCAGCCCACACAGGCTGCTTTACTATCCTCCCTCTTGTCATGCTCTGTCCAAACCCCTCAGCTGCAAGAACGTAGCACAGAAGCCATTCGGGGCCGAATCTAGCCCTCCCTGGAGCCTCTCTAAGGAGCTCAGACCAGAAGTTTCTAGGCTGGTGGTACAGAAGAGGGGCAGTGAAACCACTGAATCAGCCCTGGGGTACATACTGGGCCCAAGGGCATGCCCTATGACGTAGGAGATGACGCAGGCAATGCTGACGTAGGGCATCCAGGATATCTTGTCCTGTGGAGAGGAAACAGAGTTGAATTACACCCAAAGCAGACACAACCTGGGATGGGACCATCAGGACTCGTCTCCCAGAGGGCCAGTCGCTCTGCCTGAGTTGGGAAGGAGGGCCCCTGGCACCTTCTTCAACAGGCAGCGCCACCTGCGTGCCTCTGGAATATCCACTGTAAATGAACAGTGGGTTGCTGGGGCAGGTGGAGGGCTGACCCCAAGCAGCTGACTCATTGTGATGATAAGCATGCACAGGAGGGCCCAGACAGAGGGCCGCACTCCAGGCCCCGCCTTCCTCACCTGCAGAACCAAGGCACCCGTCAGCACGCTGCAGGCAGTGAAACAGACAGAGAAGCCCAGGAGGAGCAGGAATCTCCTCCCTATCAGTTCCACTATGAAAATCTGGAGGGAAAGGGCGAGGAAAAGTGGGAGGCTCAGCAGGCCGTGCCCTCCCCTCCCACCCCCGCCCCGCCATATCCCTGTCTGGACCCGCCTTCCTGGGCACCCCCACTTTCATGTTCCACACAACACCTTTCTACAGGGGCAGCTACACTCCAGTATTCTTGCCTGGAGAATCCCATGGACAGAGGAGCCTGGTGGGCTACGGTCGCAGAGTCAGACACGGCTGAGTGAGTGAGACACAATGAGAGCTGGGTGGGCTGTGCACCCACCTTCTCGTGTGTGTGTGTGTGTCCCTGAATGGCCAGTCCAGGGGCCCTGTTTATCACACGGCGGCCCTGGCACAGGTAGTGACCCCCAATGTATGAGATTGGAGAAGAGCCACGTCTCACGGTGGTAGCTTCCAGAGTAGTGGGTGGGGTCTCCATCTTTGGGAGTCATAGGCTGCCCATCAGGAGAGACAGGCTCTCATCTGAGGATAGCCCAGAAGTTAGAGATGAAGGGACCAAGGGGCACATTGCCACCTAGATCTCGGCTCCTTTCTGAGCTGAGACCACCCACCCACCCCGCAAGGTGCCCTCCATCCCTGGTGGCAGATGGGGACTTGGCTCCTGGGATACTCACGGCACAGACAGTTATCAGCACGTTGACAGCACCTGTGCCCGCCGTCACATACTGGACATCGTCCTCATTCACCCCGGCGCTCAGGTAAATCTGGTCTGCGTAGTAGTAGATCTAGAAGGAAACTGAGGTGAGGCCTGCCAGGCCACTACCTGGGCGCCTCGGGGTGTCCCCTGCACCTGCCATTGTCCAGGCCGAGCTCCACCCCCCACCCCCAACACCTGCTCCCTACCGCGTTCACTCCGGAGAGCTGCTGGCCAGCCATGAGAACGATGATGGAGATGACCTGCCACCGCAGGGACCTCATCTTGAATAGCTTCAGCACAGAGATGAAGCCTGCAGCCTTCTCAGCCTTGTCCTCCTCCAGGATCTCCTCTATCTCTGCGTCCACGTCGTGCCAGCCACGCAGCCTCCTCAGAGCTGGGGGGAGGGAGCAGAGGGTGAGTCGCGGGCTGGACCACGGTGCCCCCCCACCGCCCTTCCTGAAAAGATGCTAGAACTTCAGTCCCTTTTCCTAGTCTCAAGGGAAAGCCTCACCGCTTTTGGCAGCTGCTTCATCTTTCTTCTGAATCAGCAGGTACCTGGGGCTCTCGGGGAAGAAGGGCAGGAAGAGGAGCTGCAGCACAGCGGGGATCCCGGTCAATCCGAGGAGGATGGGCCAGCCTGCAAGGAAACCAGTGTGACCTGAGAGCTGGTTCCAGTGCCCCAGACGCCGCCTTGGCTCCAGCTTGCCTCTGCCTCCAGCCAGATGGAGCCCTATTGGCCGCTCTGGCCTTTTATCTTGATTGGTTACCTTTGGGTCTGGAACACAGTGGGCAGTGAGGGTGGGGATGGAGACAAGATCTTTGTCTTTCTCCTCCCTATGTCTGCCAACCCCTAGGATGGTACCTAAGGAAGAGTGGCCACTCTAAACACTTAGAGAATGGATAATGATGAATAACTACCGCCCACCTACCCTGGGGGCGCAAAGAGTCAGAAACGACCTGAGCAAATGAGCACAGAGCACACCTGCCAGCTGAACAAAGTGAAAAACGCAGATGATGTCAAGTGCTGGTGAGAACGTGGGCAGATGGGAAGTCTCCACGTGCCGTGTGGACATGCGGCGTCTTTAGGAGACGGTCTAGCAGGAGCTAGTGATGCTGGACACCACACAGGCTCTAACCCAGCAGTCGTGCTCAGGAGTGTGCCTGGGCCACCAGGATACCGGAAGGAGAATGGGCCAAGCAGCACTGATTATAGAAGGGAAACCCAGAAACAAGGCAAACCATCATCCATAAACGATGGTTCACTCATCAGGTGGAATTTTATACTGTGATGAAAATGAAGCAGGTCAGGATGGGAGCCTGTCACACCAATGCGGTGTTTGGTGCGGCGTGGTTCTACACCATGTGGTTCCACTGTATTAAATCCAGCAACAGGGATTAGCTCTATCTTCTAGAAAAGTGGTGACACTGCAGGGAAGAACAGGGACACATGATAAGGGTTGGCACAATGGCTCCCTTTGGGGGTGAGGAGGCCATGATTGAGGGGTGCACAGGAGGCCAGCCCAGTTCTAGTTCTGGATCCACATGTATGTTATATCTCACAATAAAAATTGTTAAATAGGGCCTCCCTGGTGGCTGAGTGGTGGAGAGACACGGGTTCCCTCCCTGGATGGGAGGACTCCACATGCTATGCAGCAACTAAGCCCGTGGGTCACAACTGCTGAGCCTGTGCTCTAGAGCTTGGGAGCTGCAACTCCTGAAGCTCATGCACCCTATAGCCTGTGTTCCGCAACAAGAGAAGCCACCGCAATGAGAAACCAGTATATCGCAACAAGAGAGGAATCTCTGCTCACTGCAACTAGAGAAAAGCCCGAGCTGCAGTGAAGACCCAGCACAGCCAAAAATAAATATATAAATAAAACTATTTAAAATAAGTGAATGAGTGGTTCATGCTCCCTCTAGGAGCTGTGAATGCCCGACTCACTCTCTCTTCTCCTAGGATTTGCAGAAGGTGACAACCTTGGACATCTGTGTGCCAGGCACTAGTCTGATGGCTTTTCACCAGTAGCCCACTCCCTGTCACAGCAATGTCAGGAGGCAGGCACCAGAGTCAACCCCATTTTACACCTGCAAACACTGAGGCATGGAGGGTGCAGCTCCCCTGCCCCGAGATCAGTTATTTGGAAGAAAAGCTGAGATAGGAACTCAGGCACGTTGAAACCTGAATCACCATCCTCCCAAGCTCCTCCCACCTCTTGACGAATCCAAGGCCTAGCAGATCTGAGTTCCACTTCCATCACCCTTGCATAGATTACAGGAAGTGAGGAAGTGCCTGCCATTCGGGCTGCTGCTGTCTGCCCTCTGGCCCTGCTCCACCCACTACGTGAAATTCTTCTCCCAAGGTCTCAGTGTCCTTAACTGCCACACCCAGACACCTGGTTCTGATCTTGCCCTACCCTGGACTTCTTTGCAGCCTTTGTGCTATGGCTGCTCACCTCCGATGCCCCTTGCTTCCATAAACCCTGACAGTCTTCTCTTCTGGCCTTCCTTCCTTCCCTCCTTCCTTCTTCACTAAGCACCTATTATGTGCCATGAATTGTGCTGGAGATTCTAAGATGAGTCAGGACAAGCCCTGCCCTCCACGCTCTGCCTAGAGGAAGGTGCCAATGGCTGAACAGTCACAGTGAAGGATGGAACGACAAAGTGAGAGGTCACCAGGATATCTGCAGCTCCCTGGTCACACAAAGAACTTCACCTCCTGGCCCCTCTGCTCACAACTGGAGTGCTGGTCCTACTTCTCCCAGCCCAGGCCCCCTCTGAGCCCCTCTCCCTGGGTGGACCTATGGTTCTTTCCCCACATACCACAGAGTACTTAAAAGGTGCCAGGGGTTTTCTGGGTCCTGCTGGCTTATGTGCCATCACTGGGAGACAGGAACCTAGCTGCTTCACTTCTGGTCCCAGATCCTTAATAGGTTGATCGTAAGGTGGGAGAGAGGATAGTTAAAACTCCAGCCCAGGCCTGCACTGTCTGCATTTGTGTCCTAACGACACCTTGGACATGTGATACAACCTCTCCCGGCCTCAGAGTCTACAGCTGTAAAATGGGTACAGTAACAGTGCATGCTCATAGGTTGTTTGGAAGATTAAATGAATTAATATAAAAGGCATTGTGTCTGGCCCATGACGAGTACTTTATATGTTTTGACTGGTGCTTTATTAGTGGTGATTTCCCTTCAGAGTTTTGAGACCTAAGACAAAGAAAGGGGAAGTCATGCAAAAACAGTGACAATTATGAGTTACTGTGCACCTACTATGTGCCAGGCCCCAGGCTCGTGGGGCTGGGGCTGTGGCTCTGGAGTCTAGGTCTGGGGTGGATGCTGGCCCTGAGACTCACCACTGCCTCCATGGGGGCTGGGTCTTGTGACCCTCTTTCGTGGTCTGCAATGGGATGACCACAAATCTCTGGGCAACTGAGTTGCTGCGAGGCCCCAGTGCAGGGGTGCTGCAAGCCTTAAACATAGAGTCTGGCACCCTGGCTGCCTTCATTACCGAGCCCCGGGACTAGCAGCCACTCAGACAGCAGCTCATCCTGCTCCCTCAAAGCCCCCTCCTACGTGTTCCAAGAGGGACTAGAGAACGTCCGTCTATGTGTCCCCACCAACTTGCTCAGGCCTGCTCGGCACAACCACCACCTCCGCCCTGTGGGGCCAGGGCTCTGCAGTGCTGAGCCCTACAGAGCTCCCCTCTCCACTGCAGGGGCCTCATGGTTTACAGAAAAGACCAGCTCATAGGAGCGGGCTAGTGGTCTGAAGGCATCCCGAACTCACCTTCTTCGTTTGCCAGGAGACTCCGAAGACCAAAGATCTGGGCCACAAGGATTCCGATGGTGATGAAAAGCTGGGGCACCACCCCCAGGGCCCCCCTCCAGTTCTTAGGGGCCAGCTCTCCTAAGTACATGGGGACGACATTGGAAGACAGACCTGGGAGAGGGGGTGGAAGTAAAGGCACAATCTGGAAACAGTAGTCTGGCAGGGACAAGCTGTGTCTTCAAATACATTTATTTTCCTTAGCAATCACATTGTTATTGTGATCAGTCGCTAAGTCACGTCCGACTCTTTGCAACCCCATGGACTGTAGCCAGCCAGGCATCTCTGTCCATGGGATTTTCAAGAATACTGGAGTGGGTTGCCATTTCCTCCTCCAGGGGACCTTCCCCACCCAGGGATCAAACCCATGTCTCCTACATTGCAGGTGGGTTCTTTACCACTGTGCCACCTGGGAAGCCCTTAGCAATCATATTAGTTGGGCTGAAACTTTCTCAAAACTACAAGAGTAAGCAAACATCACCTTTTGCAATTCTTAGTCCTTTAGACATTAAGAGAAAATAACCTGATAGAAGTTCAGTGTCCTTGCTTCCAGACTGGTGTTACCTGGGGACACAGGCCAGCCGGACCGCGGGAATTCCCTCCTGACTGGTGTGGTTTCAGAGAGGAAAAGCCCAGGTGTGTTCTGGACACTCTCTCCTCTCTTGCTCCTTGTTGGGGAAAACCTATTAATAAAAGGCCTGTCCACCAGCTTTACTTTCTTATTTATACAATAAGCTGATGCATAGACACTGAAGCACAAGCTTTATTTTTCAATAAGGGGTGACAGTGGTAAAGAATCTTCCTGTCAATGCAGGAGACCTAGGTTTGATCCCTGGGTTGGGAAGATCCCCTGGAGAAGGGAATAGCAAACCATTCCATGGAGTCACAAAGAGTCAGACACGACTAAACATAATACTCCATTAAGCATTTAAAAATTAAAACTTAAATATTTATTGTGCACCAATATTTATTATGGCTTTCTTGGTGGCTCAATGTAAAGAATCTGCCTGCAATGCAGGAGACCCGAGTTTGATCCCTGGGTGGGGAAGATCCCCTGGAGAAGGAAATGACAACTCACTCCAGTATTCTTGCCTGGAAAATCCCATGGACGGAGGAGCCTGGTGGGCTACAGTCCATGAGGCTGCAAAGAGTCAGACCCAAGAGCGACTAATACCCAATACCAACTGTATTCTGGGATGTGTGTAAGGTCTGAACTGTTTCTGAATCCTCAGTATTTGAACTTGTTGGTTTTCCTATCTTACTACAGTCTGATCCCCTTATGAATAGGTGGAATTTAATTTTATAGACTCTAAAATATTTTCACATGTATTATTTCATTTAATTCTCAGAGAAGCCCAATGAGAGGTTGAGGATCTGGGAAGGTCAGATGGGTTGTTGTTATTATTCAGTCACTAAGTCATGTCTGACTCCTGTAGCATTCCAGGCTTCCTTGTCCTTCACTGTCTCCCAGAGTCTACTCAAGCTCATGTCCACTGAGTTGGTGATGCCATCCAACCATCTCATCCTCTGTTGGCCCCTTCTCCTCCTACCCTCAATCTTTCCCAGCACCTGCGTCTTTTCCAAAGAGTCAGCTCTTCACATCAGGTGGCCAAAGTATTGTAGCTTCAGCTTGAGCATCAGTCCTTCCAACGATTATTCAAGGTTGATTTCCTTTAGGATTGACTGGTTTGATCTCCTTGATGGGTTGGTTGTCACTGTTCCAAGTACTGCACACAGAGCCAGAGGTAAGCAGATGCTCAGCAAGATGTGGGGTCTGAGAGGGAGGCTCTGACCACAAGGAGACCAAGGGAACCAGTGTGGGGTGAGGGGAGGCTAGAGCTGCTGGTGACAGGAGGGTGTTTGATAGCCCTGAGATAGAACACTGATGGCTAAGTTTTCAAGCAATGCATTCTGCCCAAGGACATCTCTGCTTAGTATTTTTAAAAGGACATCATCTTTCATTAATTAATACCAATTCTTTCTGATTTTCAGAGCAAAGAGGGACAGTCTTTAGAGCAGCTCTTAGATGTCTTGAAAGTGGGTAGGGAGGGACTCTGCAGGCCCAGTGCCCAAAGGGCTGTGGAGGAAGTGAGGCCCTGCAAGTGCCCAGTCATCATTCAGGCCCTAGTGACCTCATCTCAAGGCCAAGTGCTTCTGAAGTTAATTAAGAGCAACACTGGAGAGACAAAACACTGGAGGCTGTGAAGAGATCGGGTTCCCCGAATGTTGATAGAGAACAGTCTCGTTTTGTCTTAAAAATGACTCCACGGGGGAACCTTGGCCCACCTGTTCTGACAATAGTCAGAGAAATGACTTTTAAAGTTTAAATTCCATTAGTGAAAGTCTGCAGTGTTTTTATCAAAGACCTTGACTAATAGCAAACCAGCTAACTGAGCATCTGGGGGTCTGAGCTGTACTCACCCTGTACCCCTTGGTCAGAGTGGCCACTTATTTTTAGGGGTGTCTAAGTATCACAGAGCTTGATGACACCCTTTCTGGACTTTTCAGGAAAAACATGAAGAAATGAATGGCAAATGGATTAGGCTTCCGCTAAAGTTCTCCAAGTATGACCTAAGGACCCAGAGGGTTCCTGACACCTGGGGTTCTGTGAGATCAAAACTATCTTCAGAACCATCCTAAGATATTATTTGTCCTTTTCATTCTCCGTGTCTGATGAGTTTTTCAGCAATCACACACCCACTGACATCACACCAAGAGAACACAGATGTAGGTTTGAGAGACTGGCTATCTTCTATTTAGCCAGACATTTAAGAGATTTGCAAAAATGTAAAACAACACCACTAAATTTTTTTGGTCTTAGAAAATAGAATTATTTTCATAAAGACATGTAATGGGCTTATTATTGCTATTAAAATGAATTAATTTAAATTCTTAGTTGCAATTTCTAATGTGGTAAATATTGATCAAAATAACACATGAGCAAAAACTCCTTAGAACTCTCAATAATTTTATGAGTGTAGAGAGATGCTAAGGCCAAAAAGTTTCAGAACTGCCAACTTGAAGTCATACTCATTTAAAAGCAAAGGTTGGTTGGGAATTCCCTGGTGGTCCAGTGGCCAGGACTCTGGGCTTTCACCACCAAGGGCCAGGGTTCAATAGCTGGTTTGGGAAACTAGATCTCATATGTCATGCAGTGGCAGCCCGCCCCCACCTCTCCACCGCCAAAAGCAAAGGTTGGAATATCAAACTGTGATTTATAGAGCCTAATTTTTTTATTTTTTGGAATCAACTCTGAATTGTTGGCTGTCAATAGTAACGTAACAGCACCTACCCACTGCCAACGACTTCTAGGAATCGTCTGTGTTTCATAAAGCTGAGCCTGGCTGCAGGAAAAACCCACAGGAGCGGGGCTGGGTGCCTTGCAGCTCCCGCCCAGATGGCAGATAAATGTCCAGGCACTCTCAGGCACAGCCAGAATGAGGGCAGTTTGCCAGGGGACCCATTATCCCCTCTTTGAAGTGACTTCTTCTCTTTTTGGGAAACTTGTTTTCCTCTTTATTCCCCCAGGTCTGCAATCCCTTGCCACTTCCTTCAATACTAGGCTCCTCCTCATCTCCTCTATTGTCAGTAAACTCCAGGGAAGGGGTCTGCTAATGTCGGGGCAATTTATCCCTTCATCCCAATCCCCGTGTTTGGAAGGAGAATGAGTCACTTGATGATGCCAGAACCTGGGGTGGGGGGGAGAGGGCAGCGAGTGAGTGCCCAGAGTGCAGCATTTCCAGGGGTGCCCACTTGTTGAGAGTCCTTTGGACAGCAAGGAGATCAGAAAAGGAAATCAACCTTGAATATTCATTGGAAGGACTGAAACTGAAGCTCCAATACTTTGGCCACCTGATGTGTAGAGCCAACTCATTGGAAAAGACCATGATGCTGGGAAAGCTTGAGGGCAGGAGAAGGTGGGGGATACAGGATGAGATGATTGGATGGTATCACTGACTCAACAGACATGAGTTTGAGCAAGCTCCCGGAGTTGGTGATGGACAGGGAAGCCTGGAGTGCTGCAGTCTGTGGGGTCGCAAAGAGTTGCACACGACTTAGTGACTGAAAAATCACCACCCTTGGGTCCCCGCCCTGCAATGCATGGCTCTGAGAGCGGGCACCTCTCTCTCTTTGACGGCCCTGACCCTTCTGCCTGCAGAAGACGCCAACGTGAAGGGAGTCCATGGCACGGCCAAAACCATGTGTCTTCAGTCTAAGGCATCATGGATGAGGGACTTTCCTAAACCAGGGAAGCCTGGCATGGGCAGAATGACTTTGAAGCACTTAACAGTCATCAACTCTCTTCTGATAGAGGGATTCTATATTAGATTGTTTCTCAAGTTTTTTGACCACAACCCATAGTGCACAATATAGAAATACATGTTACATCCAGCTTGGTTCTCACATATGTATACAGAATTGAAACAAAATTTCAAAAGACAGTCCTTACCTTTACTGCATGTAACAGACATCCCCATAACACAGGGGCTTATGTGTCTATCCACAGCAGAGGTGTAAGAATAGCTTGAACCTACATGCTTTGGAGACCCCAGATAGGTTCAGGTCCCAGAGGTCTGTTCTCCCTCCCCTTGACTATCCCAAGTCACAGAATGGTTTACCTGCACATATTCCCACCAAAACCCTGGCCACAATTATCATCTCAAATGACTTGGCGAGCTCACTGAATCCCATTAAGAACGCAGGCACGATGGAGAAGATGTTGTTGAACAGCAAGGTTCCTTTTCTGCAGAGGACAAAAAACCAATTAGTTTGGTTTAAGGTTTCGCTCACTCCTTTGACAAGTGTTTGCTGGGCCTCTACTCCATTACAGTAGTTGCTGTTGTGTTATATGCTTTGTTGTTGACCTAAGACAGATACAGGTCAAGTGGATGGCCTGATTCTCAGTGGGAGGAAATATAAATGACTCCCAGGGAGCGGACATCAGTGGGGCACACAGGGAAAGACTTGAATATTACAATACAGTAAAAGGGGAAAGGTGGAAGTACTGACAAATTTCCTCTTCTTGGGCTCTAAAATCACTGCAGATGGTGACTGTAGCCATGAAATCAGATTTCCTGCCGATTGCTTCTCGGCAGGAAAGCTATGACAAACCTAGACAGTGTGTTGAAAAACAGACATTACTCTGCCGACAAAGGTCCATATAGCCAAGGCTATGGTCTTCTCAGCAGTCATGTTTGGTTGTGAGAGCTGGACCATAAAGAAGGCAGAACACCAAAGAATTGATGCCTTCAAACTGTGGTGCTGGAGAAGATCCTGAAAGCCCCTTGGACAGCAAGGAGAGCAAACCAGTCAATCTTAAGAGAAATCAACCCCAAATACTCGTTGGAAGGACTGATGCTTAAGCTGAAGGTCCAGTATTTTTGTCATCTGATGCGAATAGCTGACTCATTGGAAAAGTCGCTGATGCTGCTAAATATTGAGGGCAGAAGGAAAAGAGGGAAAGAGAGGATGAGATGGCTGGACAGCATCACTGATGCAATGAACATGAACTTGGGCAAACTCTGGGAGATGGTAAGGGACAGGGAGGCCTGGTGTGCTGCAGTCCATGGGGTCACAAAGAGTCGGACATGACTGGGTGACTGAACAACAACAACAAAGGGTTTTGAAACCATAAACTACTGTGCTTTTAGTGTAATCTTGAAATCCAAACTGGATAAGGACCTTAGAGGAAAAGTTTAGGCCAACCTCACTTATCAACACAGATGTGAAAATCCTAAGTGAATTATTAGCTGATCGAATTCAGCAGTACAGATAAGAATCTCTCAGGACTTCCTTGTTGGTGCAATGGATAAAAGCCTGCCTGCCAATGCAGGGGACTTGATCCTTGGTCCAGACACATTCCAATGCTGAGGCGCAACTGAGCCCATGTGCCACAACTACTGAGCCTGCATGCTGCAGCTACTGAAGCCCAAGTGCCTAGAGCCCATGCCCTGCAACAAGAGAAACCACCACAATGAGAAACTCTTGCTCCACAATGAAAAATAGTGCCTGCTCACCACAACTAGAGAAAGCCTAGGCAAAAACAACAAAGATCCAGTGTGACCAACAATAAATAAATAAAAGGAATAGTTTCTCTTGTGGCTCAGCTGGTAAAGAATCTGCCTGCAATGCAGGAAGCCTGGGTTCAATCCCTGGGTTGGGAAGATCCCCCAGAGAAGGGAATGGCTACCCACTATCCAGTATTCTGGCCTGGAGAATTCCATGGACTGTATAGAGTCCACTGTAAAGAGTCAGACACGACAGAGCAACTTTCATTTTTCCTTTTCAAGGTTAAAAACACTATATTAAACATTATACTGGGGAAAATATAAGATTATTAAGCGAAGTAGTAAAAGAAGTCAACAAAATTTGATACCCATTATGATTTTTAAAAACCTTGCATAAAAATAAGAGCTGGGGTTCCCTGGTGGTTCAGATGGTAAAGAATCTGCCTGTAATGCAGGAGACCTGGGTTCGATCCCTGGGGTGGTAAGATCCCATGGAGAAGGCAATGGCTCCCCACTCCAGTATTTTTGTCTGGAGAATTCCATGGGCAGAGGAGCCTGGTGGGCTACAGTCCATGGGGTCTTAAAGAGTTGGACACGACTGAGTGACTAACACTTTCACTTACATAAAAATGAGGGAACTATAGCGCTGATAAAGGGTATCCCCTAAAACAGTGAGTGAGTGAGTGAAAGTTGCTCTCTCGTGTCTGATTCTTTTCGACCCCATGGACTTTACAGTCCATGGAATCTCCAGGCCAGAATATTGGAGTGGGTAGCCTATCCCTCCTCCAGCAGATCTTCCTGACCCAGGAATCAAACTGGGGTCTCCTGAATTGCAGGCGGATTGTTGACCAATTGAGCTATGAGGGAAGCCCATCCCTTAAAAACCTATAAGAAAAAAACAAGTCCAACTTAGTGAAACTTACAAAGCATTCCCACTTAAGTCAAGACTGGACATGGACTTGGGCCCTGGAGAGCCAAAGGCAAAATGAAAGCTTCTCTTGAGCGTCCCCTCGCATCAGGCTCCCGGGAGTCCCCCAGCCACCACTCCCATTACCCCCTGGGAAGGAGCAGTACCATTACAGGACACACAAAAAAATCCATCACATGCAAGAGGCCACACACACAGACAGAACAGCTTCAGACAATAGGATTAGATAGAAGCTACAAAATATGTATTAAATGAGTTGTGTCATAGGGGATACATGTACACCTATGGCTGATTCATGTTGTGGTTTTACAGAAAACAACAAGATTCTGTAAAGCAATTATCCTTCAATTAAAAATAAATTAATTAAAAATAAATTAATTAAAAACAATAAGGATTCAAAGCATTGTACACAAAGAACAAGAAAGTATATAAAACAAAACTATCCAAAATAATAGCAAAAAAGATAAGATTTTAAAAACAAATGAATAAAAATTATTCAAATGAAAAATATAGTCATTGAAACAAAAACACAGAAGATGAACTGTAGTGGAGGAGAGAATTAATGAATAGAGAGGCAAATCTGGGGAAGTTACATAGAAAGCAAGAAAGAGAGAGAGAGAGAAGGAGGAGGAGGAGGAGGAGAGAAATATGACAGATTAAGGTAGGGAGGACTATTATATCATTGGGCTTCCCCGGCGGCTTAAACAGCAAAGAATTCACCTGCAATGCAGGAGACCTAGGTTCGATCCATGGGTCAGGAAGATACCCTGCAGAAGGGAATGGCTATCCTCTCCAGTATTCTTGCCTGGAGAATTCCACAGACAGAGGAGTCTGGCAGGCTACAGTCCATGGGGTCACAAAGAGTTGGACATGACTGAGCAACTAACACTTTCACTTTCATAATATCATTAGTCACGGTAGCCAGAGGGTGGAAGCAACCCAGACATCCATCAATGAATGAAAGAATAAACTAAATGTGGTATGTTCGTACAACTGGGTATTATTCAGCCTTAAAATGAAAGAAATCCCAACATGCGCCACAATAATATTGTACTTTGAGGGCATTAGGCTAAAGTGAGATAACCCAGTAACACAAGGACAAATCTTACATGATTCCATTCATATGAGGTCCCTAGAGTAGTCAAATGCACAAAGATAGAAAGTCCATTGGTAGCTTAGGGGAAGAGGAGAAAGGGGAGTTATTGTTTAATAGGTACATGGTGTCCATTTTTGCAAGATGAGAAGTTATAGCGATGGATGGTGGTGATGGTTACACAACAATGTGAATTCACTTAACGCTGATAACCTACACAATTAAAATTTGATTAAATGTTATACATACATTTTACCACTTTTTTTTTTTTCCTGTAGGATCTTAGTTTCCTGACCAGGGATCAAACCCAGACTCCAGCAGTGAAAACACCCAGTCCTAACCACTGAACCACTGAGAATTGCCACAATAACTTTTAAAAATAATTTTTCAAAGAAGTCAAAAAGGCAACAACAACAACAACAAAGACACTGAGGAGTTTCCCGAAGAAAGAATATAGAAAATGGAGGAGAAAAAATATTCACAGAAACGATGGCTGAAAACTCTCCAGAACAGAAGACATGAAACCTCAGACAAGCAACTGGAGTAACTTCTGGGGTAAATAAATTAGCCATAGATTGCTTGTGAAAGAGAAGATTCAATAGTGTAAGGATGTCAGTTTTCCTCCAATTAAATGATAAATCTAAAGTAATTCCAAGTACAATCCTTTTTCAGGGATTTTGATCAACTGAGTTTAAAATTAACACAGAAGAGTAAAGGAATATGAATAACTAAAACTGGGTTTCCCTCACCACTCACTCATTAAATACAAAACAAAATTCCAGATCTATATGTGAAAGACAAAGTTGCAAAATTATTTTTTAAATTATAGAAGACTATCCGTATGACATCTGGTGCATGCATGTGTGCTAAGTTGCTTCAGTCGTGTCCAGCTCTTTCCAATCCTGTGGACAGTAGCCCACTAGGCTCCTCTGTCCATGGGGGTTGCCATGCCCTCCCAGACATCTGGTAGGAAAGACTATTTAAGACACAAAAAGCAAAAATCATGAATGAGTTAAATGTGACCACTTGAACATTTAAAGATTTTGAATTTTCACTATATGGGGACTTCCCTGGTGGTCCAGTGGCTAAGGCTTCAAGCTCCCAATGCAGGGGCCCAGGGGCCTGATCAGGGAACTAGGTCCCATATGCTTCAACTAAAGATCCTGCATGCCACAAAGACTGAAGATCCCCAAGCTGCAACTAAGACCCGGAACAGGCAAATGAATAAATTAATTCATTAAACACATAACAAAAGTAAGCTTTGAGATGGTTGGATGGCATCACCGACTCTATGGACATGAGTTTGAGTAAAGTCCCAGAGTTGGTGATGGACAGGGAAGCCTGGCATGCAGCAGCCCATGGAATTGCAGAGTCAGATATGACTGAGTGACTGAACTGAAGTGAACTGAATATCCCCTAAAAGCACTTAGGATAGAGCCTGGCACAGACGAACAAATCAGTAAATTGTTAGCTTGCTACTGATATTTAAGGAACGCTGACAAATCTTTAAGAAAACCACAAACAACTGAACAGTATTTATCACATCTTCACTTGGACTGGTAACTGTCAGCTCCATCTGCAGACCAGACCGCTAGTCCTTCACTCAAGGAGAAGCACCCTGAAAGACCTGTGACCTGATTGATGTCCTGCCCCCTGGTGGTCCACAGGGAGAACTGTGCATCCAACACCAGACTATCGAAAGACTTCAGGATCTTAGATTCACAGTTTGTATGTGTCTATTCTCAGATTCTAGTGTGTGTGTGTGTTTTTAATATATATATATAATTTGACTTATTTATTTTTGGCTGCGCTGAGTCTTCACTGCTGCGAGCATTTTTCTCTAGTTGCAGTGAGGGGACTACTCTCTAGTTGTGGCTTCTCATTGCAGAGGCTTCTTTTGTTGGCGAGCACAGGCTCTAGGGCACGCGGGTTCAGTAGTTGTGGCTCCCAAGCTCTAGAGCACAGGCTCAATAGTTGTGTCACATGGGCTTAGTTGTTCCTCAGCCTACGGGATCCTCTCAGATCAGGGATTGAACCTGTGTCTCCTGAGTTGGCAGGCAGCTTCTTTACCCCTGAGCCACCAGGGAGGTCCTTAGATTCTTTCTGAAAAAGACTGGGGAAGGAATTAAGTTGTAAAGTCGGGCCTTGACTCTTGAGCTCACTAGATCTGTGGCTGAGAACGGAGCCCTGACCTCAACCTGCCTCTGTGTGCTCATCCTCAAAGGGGAGGAGGTTGGAGGGGAGGAGCTCTTAAACATTGTTCCTAACAAGGCTGCTATCTCATGCCTGTGGATTTTTACCCAGGGAGTGGGGGAATCACATACAGAATCTCTCATGTGTCTAGAGTTAGAGGCAAGATTTAAGCTGGGCTCTTGGCGTTCATGACACTCACAATGAGGGTCGCCCTGGGACCACATGGTTTCACCTGGAAGGGCTCGACATTGATCTCAGCCATTTCAGAATTTTGCAGGAATTTAACTTGGGCTACATTTTGCATATTACTGAACCCCAGTGTAAAAGAACAGAGCGGGTTAGCTTATGTTCACTTAGGAGGCAGAGTTTAGGAGCATTAGGCTACAGTCTACATTGTGCCCCATGTCGTGGCCATGCTGTCCTACACTTGACTCTTCCAAAGGCCAGAAGGAAGTTGTGATAAGCTTTCAAGGCAAGAGAGGGCAAGAGTGGGAGTGAGTCCTGATCTCTGAAGCACTCTCTGTTCTGTCCAAGCCCACCCCAGAGCCTCAGAACTGTCACCCCCACCCACCTCCACCCTTGATAAGTCCCCAGACACTTGGTCAAGGTCTGGTCTTCTTAACTCCATTAGGAAACAAAAATCATCACAGTGGTCATTACCTAGTTTTACAATAATGATTTCTGCTTTGTTTGGCTTTTTTTTTATTTTTTGAAACTTTTTCTTTTATATTGGCGTATAGCTGATTAACAGTGTTGTGACAGTTTCAGGTGGACGGCAAAGGGACTGAGCCATACATATCCATGTATCCATTCTCTCCCAAACTTCCCTCCTATCCAGGCTTCCATGTTATGTGGCAAAGCAAAGCTCTGAGCAAAGCTCCCTGTGCAATACAATGTGTCCTTGTTGGTTATCCATTGTAAATACAGCAGTGTGTACATATCCATCCCAGACTCCCTAACTATCCCTTGCCCCGATCCTTCCCTGCTGGAAACCATAAGTTTGTTAAGTCTGTGAGACTTCTGTTTTTGGTCTGGGTTTTAAACTCTGATGGAGTCTATGAGTTTCACTGTCTCTTACCTGCCTAAATTATTCACCAAGGGGCCGACCATGAGAGAGCCGAGGAAGCCTCCGAAGGGGAACATGGACACAGTAATCGACCACAGCAAGGTCAAGTAGAACTCGTTCATGTATTCACCAATTCTGTCATAGTAGGTATAGTTGTAGAAGTCTTTCATGAACTGGAGAGCAGAGCAAAGCAGAACACCAGAATCATTTGAGCTGGTTTGCAAAAAGAATAATGGAAGTTGTTGGGCCACCGATGGGATGAACTGGGCATGTGAACATCAACATGATGAAGTGGAGGAGAGGGAGTAAGGATTAAAAGCAATTAGCAGGGGGCACCCACGAGCCGGAGGCAGAAGGTAGGGGGCTGCGAGGCCTCCAGTAGGCAAACTGCTCAGGATGTTTCTAACCCCAGAAAGGAATGACTCCAGCCTTTCAATCACAGAATCAATGTTGGATGATCCCTTCCCCATCCAGACCCTGCTATGGATTACCTGTCTGTAGAAGATCAGAGCCCTCTCAAACCTTTCCCCGCCCACCCCTGAGGCCAGCCAGCACTGTGTCCAGCCAGGCCTGGCTCTCCACAAGAATCTAAGGCCCGGGGACCTGGTGGAGCCCCACGGCCTTGTGCCTGCAGGTTCCTTGAGCCTGTGCTGTTGTCTCCTGGGTGTGACCCCTCCCTTCACTCGAGGCCCCACTGTGTGCTCAACATGTGTGCAGTCCCACCCTAGCAGCCACCCAGACACCAGCTGCTCCAAACCCACCTCCCTGTTCCCTGGGGGGCTGCGCCTTGCCCACCACAGCGACCTACCTCCGAAGGGGAGTTAATAGCAGCCACGTTGTACCCATACTGGAAGGACGACCCAAAGGCAGCTATCAGTGTTGCCAGAACAATCACGGGTGTCAGCCTCTGCGGGAGATGAGATCACAGCTTTAGGTCAGGAAGCAGCCCCGAGCTTCCAGGAAACTCAGGATTTACTCAAAGTCTTGTAGAAAGATGGACGTAATGGGACCTGAAGACCCACAGTCTTTCAACCACTCCACGTCTGAAACCTACCCACCACTCACCTGGGTGGAGCAGGTTTCCTGCTTGCGCTAACAGTAGCGCTTAGGCTTGGGCAATCCTGTGTTATGGGGGGCTGTCCTATGTGCATGGTAGGGACAGCCCTCCCCCCATCTGTTACAACCTAAATGTCTCCAGACATAGCTAAATGTCCCCAGGGTAGGTGGGGATTCGCCCCTGGTTGAGAATCACTGGGTCATAACAAAACTGAAGGTCACCTGTTCCAATACTCCATCCAATGTCTGAGTTGCTTCTACAACATTTCTGCTGTGGAGCTGCCTTGGCCTACTGCAGCAAATGCACTCAAGCACTGCCTCCAACACATGTGTTTGTGTGTTTAGTCACTCAGTCGTGTCCAACTCTTTGCCATCCCAAGGACTGTAGCCCGTCAGGCTCCTCTGTCCATGAGATTCTCCAAGCAAGAATACTGGAAGGGGTTGCCATTTCCTCTTCTAGGAGATCTTCCTGACTCAGGAACTGAACCCACATCTCTTATGTCTCCTGCATTGGCAGGTGGTTCCTTTACCACTATGCCACCTGGGTTTCTCTGATGGCTCAGCAAGTTAAGAATTAGCCTGCAATGCAGGAGATGCAAGAGATGTGGGTTTGATCCTTGGCTCAGGAAGATCGCCTGGAGGAGGAAATGACAACCCGCTCCAGTATTCTTGTCTGAAAAATCCCAAGGACAGAGGAGCCTGGTGGGCTGTAGTTCAAAGGGTTGCCTCTGACACAAACTCCCTTAAAAATCAGAGAGAAGAACTGTGAAAATTTTTAATTATTTAGGGTCACTGATTCATTTCCTTTAACCTCTGGACTTCGCTGTAAGAAGCAGAAGGCACAGTGAAAAAAATTTAAATATAGATTTCAGGGGTCTCTTTAAACACACACATTCCATGATATCCCCTTTGACCCTTGGGAAACTGAACACTCATTTAAGACAATCTTTAATGACAAGTAGGGGTTCATTTCAAATGAAGGAATGAAAATCGGGAGGAAGTAAAAGTGGAAGGAGGTTTGCTGTTAGAATCTATGGATCTCAGTTTGAATTTGCTCACTGCCACTTTCTGGCTTAATTTCTTTGATCTTCAGTTTCCTCATCTTTAGCATTAGGATAATGACAACCCTTGGAGTTATTACAAGGATTAATTTTATGGAAGCGTCTAGTCCTGAAGGTGAATCCACTGACTGGGGGTGAGTCTGGGTATGGCTCTCAGAACCCACTGTTGATGCACTTCATCCTGTGTTCCTAGTGAGGTCCCTGGCACATGGACTCAGTACCTCCTGTGCCGAGCTGTGGTCCTCACATCTCCTTGAACAACATCCCTGCTGATCTAAGGAGGACCTCTTGAGAAAGGCAAGTAGGAGCAGGACAGGCCGAGAAACAGTGGTCACCTGGGCCTTGCCTAGTGCCCAGAAGGGGACATGCGAGCTAGTGACACCCCTCCCCAGCCTCACAGAGCAACTGTAGGACCCGCAAGGGCCCTGGTTAACAGCTGAACCCTCCTTCCACCGAATGAATTAACAAACGCTGGTTCACAGGAAGTTTCTGGCGAGGATGAGAAGAGCTACCGACAGGGAGCAGTGGGCTCAGGCCCCACCACTCCCTGGGGCCAGTGGAGACAGTGGGTGATGGAAGTCGGGGAGCAGGCAGTGGGGCCCAGGAGGGAAAAAGGGTTCCAGGGCAGTTGCTGCATGGTGTTTTCTAAAGACGGGGGCACACAGGTAGGCACACCCACCACCACCTCCGAAACCCCACCCAGTAGGTAGCATAGGGCCAACTGAGCTCATCTCCCGAAGTGCTCTGGGTAATCATTCACTCATTCATTCATTCATTCAACAGATTGAGCACCCACTGTGCGTTAGGCATGGTTCTGGTCCTATGTACTAGGGAGATAGTAGAGAACAAAGCAAAGATCCCTCCCCTGTAGCTGGAGAAGGGATAGGCTACACACTCCAGTATTCTTGGGCTTCCCTGGTGGCTCAGCTGGTAAAGAATCCACCTGCAATGTGGGAGACCTGGGTTCGATCCCTGGGTTGGGAAGATCCCCTGGAGAAGGGAAGGGAGACAGGCTACCCACTCTAGTATTCTGGCCTGGAGAATTCCATGGACTGTATAGTCCATGGGGTCACAAAGAGTTGGACACAGCTGAGCAAATTTCACTTCACTTCATAGCTGTCCTATTGCTTGACTTGATGGAAGGTAGGAAGGAAGGAAGAAAGAAATGAAGGAAGAAAAAATGTTGATTAAAATGTCTCCTCTTTCAATTCTCTTCTCAGTAAGTGATAAACTATAAATGCACCCAGTTTCATTCATTCTGCAGGGGCAACTCCGACATTCTGCTTTGATGAGTCCTAAGATTTAAAGTCCTTAGCAAAGCTCAGCCAGGGAGTTGGGTGATGCCCTGAGCTCATACCCTAAACCGGGAGGATCTTGCCAGGCACATGACTAGACAGCTCCCTGACTGCTTTTACAGGATCCTAGCAAAACTCATCAGAAGAATCTCAGGCTGTCAATTCTCTAAGCCTGGAGCAAATGATTCAACTTATAGTCTCTGGCTTCTTCCTTGAATTCAAGCCACAGGCACATTCTACGGACCCTTGGGAAATCAGAGCTCACCCTTTGTAGAAAAAGTAAGGACATTCTGGGAAGTCCTCACTGAACTTGCTGGTCCAAATTCCTTCCTTTGGATGAAACAGAATTATTCTTAAGGCAGGAAAAGAAAAATTTAAGGTAAAAATTTCTTCGCTGCTTGGGTCACTATCTCCTCCCCTTTAGGGTGCATTGTGCATCTGTGTTACACATTAACCAGGTCCCCTTAGAAAACACAGGAATGCCTACTCCTAAATAGATAAATAAATAATAATAATTAAAAAAAAGCAATTTCCTCCTGGCCCCAGCAAGATAAAACCTCAGGAGATAACATTCCTTCTTCAATACTATAAGAGGTCACAATAGCTCTCTACTTGCTGTGCTAGACTATGTAAACTATCAATATGTTACTTTAATGTATATAACCCTCTGTCTCAGAAATTACATAATTGTGCTTTGACATCTAACAGGAGGACAGTCCCCAGAATTCTCTGAAAGGCTGTTTCCCAGGTTATAATCCTCAAGCTGGTGTGAATAAAAATTTCCATGTCTTTCTTAGATTGACTGTTGATTAATTTTTCATGTACAATGCATTAAACAAATATTTATTGACAGCCAACTATGAGCCAGGTACCATCCTACAGTCTGTCGAGCAAAATGCCTACCCCCAAGAAGACTGTGGTCCAATGGGAAGACATTTTTTAAGTACTTAATAATTAAACTAGAACTGTAGCAAGTTTTATGAAGAAAATCCACTGAAATGGTTAAAAAGGGAAGTCAGGAAAGTGACTGAGAGAGGGTGGGGGCTTGGGTAGGGGAGTGACTGACGCAGGGGCAAGAGGTGCCAGCTTTGAGGATTATTTTAGGAAGCAAAATCAAAGGATTTGGTACTCTGTGAGAAAAATGAAAATCAAACCCACAATGTGATACTACTACTCACTCATTAGGATGATTGAAGCCAACAAAACAGATAATACGTGTTGATAAGGACATTGAGAACATTGGAACCCTGTCACATTGCTGGGGGAATGTAAAATGGTGCAGCCACTTTGGAAAATAGTCCAACAGTTCTTCAAAAAGTTAAATTTAGAGTAAATATCAGTTCAGTTCAGTCACTCAGTCGTGTCTGACTCTTTGCGACCCCATGAATCGCAGCACACCAGGCCTCCCTGTCCATCACCAACTCCTGAAGTTTACTCAAACTCATGTCCATCGAGTCGGTGATGCCATCCAGCCATCTCATCCTCTGTCATCCCCTTCTCCTCCTGCCCCCAATCCCTCCCAGCATCAGGGTCTTTTCCAATTAGTCAACTCTTCATATGAGGTGGCCAAAGTATTGGAGTTTCAGCTCCAGCATCAGTCCTTCCAATGAACACCCAGGACTGATCTCCCTTAGCATGGACTGGTTGGATCTCCTTGCAGTCCAAGGGACTCTCAAGAGTCTTCTCCAACACCACAGTTCAAAAGCATCAATTTTTCGGCACTCAGCTTTCTCCACAGTCCAACTGTCACATCCATACATGATCACTGGAAAAACCATAGCCTTGACTAGACGGACCTTTGTTGGCAAAGTAATGTCTCTGCTTTTTAATATGCTATCTAGGTTCACTGATTTCATGGTGAAATCAGTGATTTCATGGCTGCAATCACCATTTGCAGTGATTTTGGAGCCCCCCAAAATAAAGTTTGACACTGTTTCCACTGTTTTCCCATATATTTCCCATGAAGTGATGGGACCAGATGCCATGATCTTAGTTTTCTGAATGTTGAGCTTTAAGCCAACTTTTTTACTCTCGTCTTTCACTTTCATCAAGTATATGACCCAGCAAATCCACTCCTCAGTTTATACCCAAGAGAATAAAAACATATAATCACACAAACTTGATCACAAATGTTCATAGCAGCATTTTTACCATACTCAAAAAGTGGAAACAACCCAAATGTTCATGAACAGATGAACTGATAAGCAAAATGTGGAATAGTCATTCAATGAAATATTACATGGCCACGAAAAGGAATGAAGCACTGTTACTGCCTACAAAGTGAACAGACCTTGAAAATGGGCTACGTGAAAGAAGCCAGTCACGGAAGATCACCTGGTTCCATCTGTGTGAAATGCCCAGAATAGACAGGTCCATGGAGACAGAGATCAATCAGTGATTGCCCAGGGTTGGGGGAGAAGAGGAGGAGATGGGAGAAATGCAGAGTGAGTCAATAGGTATGGAGTTTCTTTTAAAGGTGATGAAAATCTTGTAAAATTGATTGTGGCGGACTAGTGGTTAAGAATCTGCCTGTCAATGCAGGGGACACAGGTTCGATCCCTGGTCCAGGAAGATTTCCCGTGCCTCAGGGCAACTGAACCCATGTGCCATAGCTACTGAAGCCTGCATGCCCTAGAGCTCATGCTCTGCAACAAGAAAAGCCACCTCAATGAAAAGCCCTGTGTACCACAACTAGAGTAGTTCCGGCTCACTACACCTAGAGAAAGACTATGCACAGCAACAAAAACCCAGTGCAGCCAAAAATAAATTTAATAAAAAATATTAAAAATTTTTAAATTGATTATGGTGATAGTTATTCAACTCTGTGTATATATATTGAATTGTATAAGTTTAAAGGGGTGAAATGGTCTGGGAGTTATATTCCCAATAAAGTTATTACACTATACAAAAGGGTGTAAGAGAAATTCAGAGTTTAAGCTTTCCTTTTTGTCTCTCTTCTCTTCTTCCTTTTTTTAATACTTGTGAGGAGGACAAAAGGAAGAATTTGGTACTGGGTTGGATTAGGGCATGAGAGAGAGAGGAAGGCACCAGACAGGATGTGCAGGTCTCCCACAAGCTTGTTAAAAATGACAAAAGGGGCTTCCTTGGTGGCTCAGAGGTAAAGAATCTGCCTGCTAGCACAGGAGACACGGGTTCGATCCTTGGTCAGGAATATCCCACATGCTACGGAGCAACAAAGCCCATGCACCACAACGATTGAGCCTGTGCTCTAGGGCCTGGGAGCTGCAAATGCTGAGCCCACGTGCTGCAACTACCGAAGCCCGTGTGCCCTAGAGACTGTGCTCCGCAACGAGAAGCCCCTACAAAGAGAAGCCTGTGCATCGCAGCAAAGAGCAGCCTCACTTGCTACAACTAGAGAAAAGCTACACACAGCAATGAAGACCCAGCCCAGCCAAAAATAAATACAATTAATTAAAGAAAGAAAAAAAAAGACAAGTGGCTCAGCGGCCTCGAGACATGAAACGGGGCTGTTGTCCGAGGCCAGGGGGAGCTGTGATTTGCACTTTGGAGAAGAGCTAGGGGTCACTTCCCTCGTCCCCACAGTAAGCTGGCTTCCTGTTTTGCAAGACGGTAAGAACATTTTGAGACTCTAGTAGAACAGCCACTCTCAGGGCAAGCCTTCTGACAGGGTGTGATTCCAGGTCTCTGGGAAGAAGGCCCCACCCAAACCATCTCTCTTAGGAATTTGTCTCCAATTTCTTTTCTACCATCAGGGAGACACTCTCAGCCTAAGACTTTTGCTTGTCAGGCATCTCCAGTCAAAACAAAAATATCCCGGGAAAAGAAGAGTTCCTATGAATTATTAACGCAGTAGGTCACTTTATCAGACTATGTAATGAATCCAAAGTTTCACAAACATTCCTTGAGGTCTGAGTGCTGAGGGGAGGAGAGACAGACAAACTGGAGGTGCCCTGTCTCTGTGGGAGCTCACAGCTGCCTTTCTTGCTGTTGGCTGTGTGGCCTTGGGCCAGCTCCTAAACTTCTCTGTTCCTTCATCTGTAAAATGGGGATGATGATACTGCCTTCCTCACAGGATAGATGTGGGGAATAAATCAGTTCATACGTGTGAGACGCTCAGACCCACAGCTGACTTGCGGTACACACTACAAGTGTTACACATTACATCAGAGGTTTGCTATCAATATTAATTATTAACGATGCAGATCAGAGGGAAGTTACTTGCTCAGTGACACTCAACTAGTTGGTGGTGGCGGCATGCCACCAAAAAACTCTGCTTTCATCTTCCAAAGCATTCTGGCATTTTCTTTTTCTAATCAATTTTATTTTGTCTTTCAGCCCAAGAATCTTTTTTTCCCCAGTGGGAAGTCTTGAGGCACACCAAATTTGTGTCTTTTCTCTTTACAGGTGAGGAACCCAAAGGCCAGTGAGGCTGCGGTCACACACACAGCCACCAGGGAGACAGAGAGCTGGGCCCTTCCCACCAGCCTGAGCAGCGCCCCCATCCCCAACCCCGGTGGTAGCCCAGACTCTATGGCCTCGCTCACCGCCCCCCCAACTTCTCCTCAGCTCCTAAGTGCCCCCCCAGCTTTGCTTTGTGACTTGCAGGTTCTTTCTCACAGCCACCACCTGCGTAGTTCTGTTTTGATGTCCCCCAGCACGTATTTACCAAAGGACTAGGTCTGCCCTTAGGAGCCTGGAAGGGGGCAGCATGCATTCCCCCGGGTGGATCCCTGAAGGAGGCCTCCTTCCTGGGGGGACTGCAGGAGCAGGTGACTATGATTAGCCCTTATGTTTTGTATGTAACCGTTTAATCATCTCCTTTCAAAATGCATGGTTCATTTTCAGGGAGCACCACGTGGTGAGTTTCTGCTATTTTGCAGCCGCACCTGAGGACACAGTCGGATGGGGCATTGCTCTCTGAAGAGAGCACAGAAATGACCAGGGCTTCCCCTGATTCCTTAATCCCTAAGTTCTTGTTGCCTCACAGTCCCTTCTCCGCAAAATAGAGGAGATAACATTTGACCTAACATGGTCTTGTTACCATGAGGTCGCCAAGACAATCCCTGCGGAGTGATGCACTGATTTCTAAAGCAGGCAATCTCATGGGCAAGGGTGAGACTGGCATCTGGTGAGTAGACATCAGAGATGATGCTAAACAACCTACTACACCCAGGTCAGCCACCACCACCCCCCTCCCCGGCCCCATAGCCAAGAACCAATTGGCTCCGAATGTCAATAGCACCCTGCTCTAAAGGATGATCAAAAAATAATAATATGGGGACTTCCCCGGTGGGACAGTGGGTGGGAAACTGCCTGTCAATGCAGAGGACACGGATTCGATCCCTGGTCTGGGAAGATTCCCCCATGCCAAGGAGCAACTAAGCCTATGTGATGCAACTACTGAGCCCACACACCACAGTTCCTGAAGCCTGTGGGCCTAGAGCCTGTGCTTCACAAGAGAAGCCACCGCAAGAAGAAGACTGTGCACTGCAATGAAGAGTAGCCCCTGCTCACTGCAACTAGAGAGGGCCTGTGCGCGGCAACGAAGACCCAGTACAGCCAAAAATAATTTAAAGAATAACATGTATGGGGCATCTACTCGGTGCCAGGTAATTTACATGCATCATCTCATTTAGTTGTTCCAGTAGCCCTCTGTGAGTGGCAAGGTTATCATTCCCATTTTATAGATGAGAAAACGGAGGCAGAGTAGTTAAATAATTGCCCAAGTTCCCACAGCTAGAACAGGTTGGAGCAGAAATGAATCCCAGGTATTTCTACCTTCCAAACCCGCTTTAATCTATTAACCCCAGAACATGTGTCCAGCCTGCCCATGGCAAGGGTCTCATATGTATGAATAAATAGTAATTTGCACAGATATGTATCTCCTCCTGTCAATGTATATATGCAGATGCTGTTGCAATGAATAAAATGCAAACTTCTTAAAAGTGTCAGTAATTTTATGTGCATTTTCCTCAACCAAAAGATAATCAAAAGTACAGCAAAAGACAATCAAAAGTAACAATAGCAATTATATGGCAGCACCTGGGTAGGTCCTGATAAGTCCAGAAAAATCTTTTGTCTCTAAAAAAAGGAGCCTCATTATCTAAAAAGAAATCTAAATTATCTAAAAGGAAATCTCTGCTACCTAGAGTTACATTCAAATCCTGCAACATCCTTTCTATCTTCTTTGCATACTGGCTTAGCTAATTTACCTGCTGAAAAGGTTAATGAAAATGTCTAGAAGCCAAAATCAAATCAAATAAAAAACACCTCTCGGGGCCATGGGTAAGGATATTGTTGCTGACTTCAGAAGCCCTTCACCTCAAGTTCTTAAGGAAGTTGTGACAAATTAATCCTTTGAGTCCCACCAATTCAGTTTTAACTACTTTGAAAAGCTGTTCCAGGAGCATGCTTCCCAAAGAACCTCTAAACCTAAAAGTCTCTAAATCTCTCCTCTCTCTGGTCCCTGTAAAGTCCAGCTGCTGGGTGAACTCTGAAGGGCAGGTCCCCCAGTGCACACGGCTTTGAAGAGCATCCCCTAGCAATGCTGAACAGGACCTGTGATGGGGCTGCTCCTCACTGCCTCCCTGACAGCACACTTACCCCTTCCCTCTTGACTGGATCCTGCGGCTCCATCTTTGCTCTGGAAGCACAGAGTTCTGCTTGTTTCCTTTCAGCCAAAATACCAAATGCACTGGGTGGCGAGAGAAGACATTCTGGATGTACTTTGGCCGAGCCAGGTAACAGCCAATAGCATTTTTATGGGCAGTCTAAGGCAGAATAACCCTTTCGGGAACCCAGACGTTTCCCTTGTTTTCACTTCTTCTTTTGAAAGGAGCTGTCTGGGGTCTAGCTCAGCAAGTGGGCACCCCCCAGGGACTGTAGGCACCGTGCCTTCCTGATTGGGACAGTCTGCGGTATTTTCTTACTGCGAAAGTCAGACTCATGATGAGTGACTGGAAGGGTTATTTCTGTCACAAACACATGGAAAGCAACAGGTGCCACTGACCCTTCAATACGCCAGGTATCACAGGGACAAGAGACGGGGCCATTAGTGGCTTCTCAGAAGAGGTCCCTGCCAGAAATCCTGCAGCCAAGTCTCTCCGCTGGAGACTCGGCTTTTGCCCAAATTACCATGCAACACTTTTCTCGGAAAGTTTCTTATTTTTAAGGAACTCAGAGTGGCCCAGGGATGCGATTTTCTGTGTAATCATCACTATTGCAAAAGCAGTAAATATTTCAAATCCGTTTATCTGCAGGGCAGGGAAAGTGAGTCACAGTTGCTCGTCTGGGTCCTCACTCATGGCCAGGCCATTGTTGGCCCCCTGCGCTCAGCACGGGTTCAGCCGTCATGGGGGCACACCAGGTCAAGCAGCCAAAATCCAGAGCAAAGCCTCACAAGGTTTTCACCCTTACAGGGCATATTCCCTATTTTATTTGCTGTGGCACAAACCCCACAGTTAATACAGGCACATGGCCTGGTTCACCTGCAAGTAACAGTTAACCGGGGGCCCACTGTGTGTCTTGGCATCAGTGGCAAGCTGGGGAATTGTGCTCAGAGGAAGGTGACTGTGTGTGTGTATGTGGTCCCTGCTTTCCCATTAACATGTTTGTGGGGTGTACTGGGGGGCAGTGGGGAGGTGGGCAGTGACCATTTTCTCTCTCTAACCTCACTTCTTGTTTTTTCCCTTCTGGGTCACAGCCCTAATACAATGATTTCCAACTAAGGTTTGGCAAGACCAGAGGTTTCCAATTATTTCAAAAGAGTTTTGAAAAATTCTCCAAAGAAAATGCACTTTAGTTGGGGGGGATGGGGAGGGGAGAGTGAAGAAGGGGACAGGTTGGGGAAAACAAAAGCAATGTCAGAAGTTCGCCATCATGGGTTTGCCAGGCCCAGAGGAAATCAAGAGAACCACTTCTTGGCCCAAAGCTTCCACTTGGCCCCCTGCGGGCCGCAGGGAGCTGAAAACTGAGAGGGGGACACAGACCTCTCCGCTTCCTGCAGCCTTGACCTCCCACCTGGAGTGGGGGTGGGGGAGGAGACAGCGGTACAGGCCCAGGATGGGGTGGGATTGGGGGGCCGTAGTACCTGCTCTGTAGGCCTCAGGCAGGCACCACCTCGGCGTTACCAACGCCTCAGCGGCGGGAGCGCGGCGCGAGCGGGAAGAACGCGCCGGGAGGCCGCAGGGGGGATGCCGCGGCTATGCTGGGCGCAGAACGCGGTCCCCTCCTTACCCTTGCCCAGGGATCCCCCCACCCCTGTCTGGAGCCTCTTCAGCCCAGGACCCTCGAGGGCGCCTGGGGACCCCGGAGAGCTTGGAACAGAATTATCCCCGCTCAGGTCGTCTGTGTCCCCTGCCAGGTCCTTCCCGCCCCCCGCCCCGCCCCGGGCCCAGCAGCCTGGGATCCTCAGGACCCTTTCGGCCCGTGGGAGAACGGCGGTCCTTTGGGCGTCCACGGATAATGGGGAATCAGAACGCGGACTGGCCCCCTGGTCCGAGGCGGGGACTGTCCCTGCTGTGTGGCCTGGGCTGGCCCTCTGCTCAAGTGTCTGTGGTTTTCTGAACTTTCCAAGTTTATTTATTACCCTCGAGAGCTGAAAATGGGAACTGGGAAGGGGTCTCGGAGGCTCGGGGTGGGGTAGGGGTGGGGAGTGGGTGTCGGGGAGCTGGGAGGAGGGGAGTGTCTTCTTTACATCACTGGCCCTTGCTCTCCTGCCCTGCCCTCCTCTCCTTTTGAACTGGGAAGGGAAACTACCGATTGAAATCCGATTTTGCCATTGGGTTTAAAATGACAATAATAAACAATACTGATTAACCCAAGGACATTTTGCTTAATAGCACATAGCAGACCAAGGCGCGTCCTGGGAACATGTACTAATGTTTCCAAGAAACTGACCTGTGCTTGAAACTACCTCTGATGAGAGTCAAAGAATCATTTTTAAAGCAAAAGGGAGATAACTAAAAGAACCTATTGTATAGCACAGGAAACTTGCAGCACTCTGTAATGACCTATATGGGAAAAAAATCTAAAAAAGATGGATATATGTATATGTATAAGTGATTCACTTTGCTTTTTGGAAGAAACTAAGACAATATTGTAAATCAACCACACTCCAATAAAAGTTAATTTTAAAAAATAAATAAAGTAAAAGGGAAAAGTGGCCAGACTCAGGTTCTGCCAGGACTTCCCTGATTTTCTCTTCCCCACCTTCCATACAGTTTGATTCATTACAGGGAAATTATATTAGGATTTAATCCAGAAAAGAACCCAAAACTACTTTTTGGGTTACTAAATAAATTAGTTATAAATAAATTAGTTTTGGGTCCTTTTCTCTAGATTAGGTACTCTCTAATCTCTCACAATGGAGAAAGTGTTTCCTAAGAATACTTGTTTGCCAAGAATTCTAACAAGAGAATTTGGGTCCCAGATGTCATTCGCAAATCATTATTATTAACATATTATTATTAAGCATCATTATTATAAAATGTAAATATATCATGTGGCTAAGAATCTAGCAGGGAAGGCAGAATTTAGGCCGGTAAAACACTTGATGAGTTTATAACTATAAAAGAGCTCTAAACAAGGGTTGGGGAGCTGGTCAGGGAAGTCTTCCCTAAAAAAGTGAGCTTGAGCTGAAAAGGGAAAGAGAGATGAATAGAGCAGTGCTGAAAATGAAGCATCAATATTTTGGCCACCTGGTGTGAAGAGCTGACACATTGGAAAAGACCCTGATGCTGGGAAAGATTGAGGGCAGGAAAAGAAGGGGTGACAGGATGAGATGGTTGGATGGCATCACTGACTCAATGGACTTGAGTTTGAGCAGGCTCTGGGAAATAATGGAGGACAAGAAAGCCTGGTGTGCTGCAGTCCACAAGGTTGCAAAGAGTCGGACACAACTTAGCGGCTGAACAACAGCAAAGCAAAGGGGGATGAGATGGGGATGGGGTGATGGAGAGATCCTTCCAGATAAGTAACAGTACATGCCAAGGCCCTGTGGCAGAAGAGAAATTGCAAGGTCAGTATAACTGAAGAGCACCAGACAGGAAGAGTGAATGAAGAAAGAGGCTGGGGAAGTGGGTAGGGCCAGACTTACAGCCCGGGTGAGAGAGCTTGATTTTTGTTCTAGGAGAAGAGAAAAGGATTTAGAGGATGGAGGGTGATCAGAGCTATATTTTTATTTATTTTAATTTTTTAATTTTTTTTTTGTTTGGAGCTGTATTTTTAAAAGTTCACTGTGGCCGCCTAGAGGAGAAGTGATGTGGAGACAAGAGACCAGTGGATTTGGGGAAGAGAAGAGAAATTCATTCTTTGCTGTTGAACAGGCAAAAGATGGGCTTCCCAGGTGGCACCAGTGATAAAGAATCCACCTGCCAATGCAGGAGACACAAGAGACTCAGTTTCAATCCCTGGGTCAGGAAGATCCCCTGGAGGAGGAAATGGCAACCCACTTTGGTATTCTTGCCTGGAGAATTCCATGGACAGAGAAGTCTGGCAGGCTACAGTCCACAGGTCTGCAAAGAGTCAGACATGACTGAAGTGACTGAGCACAGACATAGGCCAAGATGTCAGTTGCTTGAGCTGTATGGTGGCAGAGATTAGAGAAATACATGCATTTGAGAGATATTTAGGATGGAAATTGACAAAACTTGATGATTGACACCAAGGGGAATTAAGACGATTTTTGTATTACTGTTGTAATACAAACAAAAAATAAAAATGGTCTTTCTGAAAATGAAGCTTTTCAAAAATTGAAAAGAAAAAGTTTATATGGGAAAATGTAACCAAGATGTGAGATGTTGAACAAGCATCACGCAGCAGGTTGGCAATCCCTGGGCTGTTCTTGAAACTGAACAGGACCCTGTGCAGCTCTTGGGCACAAAAGCTTTTCTATGTATCCTGTTTCTTGTTTGTAGGGAACAGACTCCAACCTCCATGACTTTCCCTGAGTCAAGGGTAGAATTGAACTGTTGCTAGTCGGGGGGAAGGGAGGGAAAGTAGAGACAGCCAACAAATAACAATGCAGCCTTGGGGTAGGGTCCTGGTTCTGCCTCAAGGGATACACATAATAGCATCTTTAAACTCTTTGTAGAACCAGAACTCCACAACAAATGGAAGATGTCAGCATTCTTCATTCCAGAAAAACTCTCCAGATTAAAGGAACCACAGAAACCCATCAGATTACCAGAGACTAGTTTAAAGGAGTTTAGGCACACACCCTAATCTTATCAGCAATCCCCTCCTTGAACTATTGCTGTAAAACTCATCATCCAATGCTCCTGGGTTGGGACACAGTTTGTGAAGGGCATGCTCCTCTCTGTCCCTCTTTGCCTGGCAAAGCAATAAAGCTGTTGTTTTCTACTTCACTCAAAACTCTTGTCTCTGATATTCAGTACTAGTGCAGAGGCCGAGTTATAGGCATCATTCTGAAATCAGACAATCAGTGCTGATGTCATCTCTACTAGGAATGTTCTGGAGTGTTCAAAGTTTTGTTGTGGGCCTTTATTGCAGAGACTGCTATAGGTTCCCTAGTGAAAAGTGAACACTCATTCGTGTCTGACTCTTTGCGAGCTATGGACTGTAGCCTGCCAGGCTCCTCTGTCCATGGGATTCTTCAGGCAAGAATATTTGAGTGG